ATAATGCCTCAGTCAATCACTAATTATCTGACCATCGTTCTATCTATAGCATCACCAGCTGCAAAGTCCACAAATTGAAATATGAGCATTTAAATAAAGGTTTTGACTCGGACAATGGAATTGACGCTCTTTCCGCATTTTCTTCAAAATTTGGAAGTATCAATATATATCTTTATTTATTTTGGCAACTTGATTAAATTTAATTAAATTACATTTTTATGTTTCTAATTTTTCATTTGCATATACTAAATTTTATTTATAAAGAAAAATTTTGTGTACTGATCGCATTTATTAAAATCGGCAAAATTTGCAAAAATTCATATAAATAAATATATTGTATAATACTTCTTATTTTCTTGAAATGGTTTCTGAAATTTTAATTTCTGGATATTTCAATGCCTGCCCGCTAAAGGGTTAATTAAGACCTAACACTTGAGACCTGACAATATTAAATAAAATATTAATAAAACGACAATATTAAATAAAAGTACGGCCATCCGGACAATAATTTTAGTCATTGCACCGAAAAAAATTAACATGCAATTCTGTAACGTGTAAACGGTTATTAAAACCTATATATTGCAACGGGACTCTACATAGTCTATATATCACCAACTGCACTGAATACATCTTATCACACGGGCGTCGTTTGTTGTGAAACAAAGATATTCAAGCCCATCTAATTGACTATCCTTAGATGCAACTATTGAACCAATTTTAAAATTATATCATTCGTTGAAATGTAACAACTTAGTAACAAATTTCTTGTGTGTTTTGTAAGTTTGAATAAATTTATGCAAGAGCTGAGGCGGTAATTACGGTGAGAGGTGAGGGCACCTGGAAGAGGGGCGACGAGGACATGTGGAGGGATAACATGTCCCTCGTCGCCACATAGCACCGGGGCACCGCCCCCCGTTAACGGCACCCCCTCACCCTCACCCCCGCGTTAACTCGTCACACGCATTCATTAACTAAACCCTCATCTTATATATCTGTTATAATCTCAATGCTGAACTTCCATCGGCTATGATTTCATCTGTATTAAGAAAAGTAAAACCCAATATCTCTTTTTTCACGTGAAGAGGCAAGGTGCACTTCCATCCCGCCAATCATGATGGTATCATTTTATTTAGGCTACACTTGCTAAGCTTTAAAAATTTCCCGGAATATTGTAAGGGTAAGTTAATAAGTCAGGCCTCAAACATCGTGACTGTGCAAACTCACATGTACCTTGATCGTCATATATGAAAACCATAGATGAACTTTGACTTAATATTAAAACTGCTCAAATATTTGCTGTATCCAGACACATTATTTTCCGTGACACACTCCAGGATATCACAATCATAATAACCATGACAAATTATCATCAATTTGAACCTCATATAGGATANGTCTGGAATTTATGCAGAAATTCTTACTCCGGAGACAGATGAATGTCAGTGCATGGTTATCGAACTTAGTAGATGCAAATTGTCGAACTTATAAATAATCAAGACATCTTTTCATTTCTGTAAGACATTTTTGAAAAAAATGAAGGTCAATATGAATAATAACATCTCGGCGCAGCAACACATAACATCTCGGATGCTTCATCAGGAATTTTAAAGCGATAAATAAGTCATATAAATTCATTATAACTCTATAGAAATCGTTTTAAAGCCCTGCTGTTTAATCATTTCAGAAATTCTAGAATACAGAAACAATCAATTATTACAGCCAAAATAATTAAAAAACAGAAGTTAAACCCAAATAGACAAATCAAAGACATGTATTGAACGTCATTCCGACGTACGATACTGACTGACGTACGTCAGTCAGTATCGGAGGCCACCTCCATCGTCAGCTAAAAAAAATGTTATACAATTCAAGTACAATCAGTTGTGAAAATCTAAATAAACCCCAAAGAGATATATATCTAAGTAGCGAGAAAACGATGAAAGGAACATAAAAACCTATCGATTTGCAATGTCAACAGGATAAGAACTGTACTCTTTCTCATGACAGGGTCTCCGTATGAAGAAATGCAGCAATTCTCAAATCAAAACCTCCATAGGTGAAACCGAGTATGTTGAAATCACTTTCAGACACAGTCATTAACGTCGTACTATTCAGCGTAAAGGCGCACAGCAGAGTGAGAAGGCTTAGAGAGTGACAGAAAACTCCTGTCAAGGTTTTCTAAACCTGGAAGTAGTAGTTGCATGACGTCATTTTGACGTACGCTGATGCGCAACGCGCACAACTGTATTCATAAACCAGGTAAGTCAGTAGCCTGGTACTAGTAGGAATAACATCCTCTTATATAAAAAAGAAGCCAATTTTGGAATTATTCACCAGCAAAATAGGCAAGTTAGCATTCGGGAAATATTTCATAATTGCGTTTTTTATTGGGAAAAGTACAATGCAAAATAGCATGTCAGCTGTTCATTGCAGTGACGAGTCGGACAATATGCATCGTTGACGCTACGAGCATGAACGCCTTCAAGAACAGACTAGACGAAACTATGCAGGAGCATATGTTCAGTCTTAAAATGCCTAGCAACTTAAGGATCAGGCAATAAGTATAGCAGCAATTTCAATCAATCGTCAGTTATGGAAAGATCGGGTTCCAAATACCGGATCCCTTGTGAATCAAGTCACGAAAAGTACAAGAATTGGCAACAGGCCATAGGCATATTTCTTCAAGCCGACACTTCTATTCTATTCTATGATGCATCTGTTGTGTAAAATAGGAGGGCAAAATAGACACGTCGTAAATTTTAGAATGACAACTAGAAAACTCCCAGTGAAAATTGTAAAAAATTTTGTTCTGTTCTACAATTATCGTTTCAATTATCCATCAACTCGCACACCGTTCCCTCAATAGATCGTTATCAATCTCCGCGTTACTATCCGACTACGAATGTTCTGCTCCTCCTTGTATGACGGGATGCATATTTTATGATATTTTTTATTAATTCACAGGATTTAGTTGTTAGCGTCTTTAAACGAGACTGAATGTTGTAGCTCCAACGTGATTGGTCGAGTTGCTCCTAGCCTCGCGACGATGCATGTTTATTCCTCTAGGTAGCCTTGGACGATGGAGAGTTCGGTCTCTTTAGAATTAGTTTAGGATTATTCGACTATTAACTTGTGATTAGTTTGCCAAATGTTTAAAATTATGATTACTTTATTGTATTGTATTCTATTATCTATTTTTTGCACTTAGAGAGTGTTAAGTCTGTTTTGTGCTCCTTATAAACGAGGTATCGTGTTGACATTATTTTAGATGAGTTACCCCTTGCGGGCAAGTTGAAGTTGTGTGTGCTCAGTGGTACAGGGTTGGGGTGCAACGGTTTTGACTCGAATTCAGGGAGCCAGATCTGGGCTTCCAAGAATAAACTCAACCGTAGTTCTGGACAACTCTGTAGTTCAACTCGTAAATAGTTCCACTAACGGACTAATAACGGCGTAGGTGGAGTGAGTTCTTGGCTAGTTCCAGCTTTTGGCTGCGTCCAATATAATAAGATCACCAATATACTACGAAAAGTTCTTCGTGTTCATTCCTCCTCTCTCCAACGCAAGGGAATTTAGAGCCGGACCAAAGAGCGACTCTTTAGCCCTTGTGTTAAAATCAATACGGGAGTCACCGTCAAGTCGGCACGCTACCCATAATTATTTCGACTTTGCGGCGGTGTTTCCCGTACACTTGGAAGGATTAGAATTTATCCGATGTTCAGAGTATTCCGATAGTTGAAGCGTAGCAATGTGTTCAGACTGTGCTATGCTTGCTCTATCAAAGTTCAAACAAAGCGATACGTTATCACTGGTGCAGTCAATATTCAGCATAAGAGTTTTAACTATAAATTTGAAACGAAGTAATTGTAGTTCTCATAAGCGAATGCGGAGTGACACATGCAGGCTACAACGAAAAACTTGGCTAACTTTCTTCCTTTTTTGCTTCAATCTTGCAGAACAGAATAATTCGTGTCCGTGTTACTTCCACTTCAAAAATTAATTTCGACTTTATTGGTTTTGCCTACGACCAAATATTTAGTCGACATGAATGAGGCAATTTTTTGAGTGGAATTTTTCGATACTGCCTAGTAAAATCATTTACTGTTTTGTTACGTCATTATTTTCTTATGTTGATACATTTTATTACTCCTTTCCGTTTCAGGTTTGTTGGCCGCATTCAAATAATGACCGGTGTCAGCCTAAGGGTGGTTTTTGACGCTCTTTCATTATCATTTTGTTTCAACAATATTTTTTATTGATATTACATGGTTTGTATGTGCTTCGTGTATTTGGGTGGCATCACCGACTCCAGCCAAGCAAACTTGTTGCTCAGCGATATCACGCAGCAGCTGCAGGCGTTGCCCGAAATCTTCTTCAACGACTAGATGACAAAACCAACAAATTTTGGTTGGTTTTTGGTCTACTCACCTGCCTATAGGTCCTTCCGATATCCTAAGATTTGGAGATCGATCGCGCTGGGTCAAATTGAATCTCTCTCCCACCAAGTTTTAGAAAAAAAATTATGCAGAAATCCTTATACAGGTTGTCTACGACGGAGTTCTTGTCCCTGCGCGACGCATGAAGTTTGCATAAAATTAGCTGGTAGGTTCTGCTAGGACCGATTCTGTGATGAACTAAACGCCAACAGACGACAAACGCAGGATATTCAAGGGAGTTTGAGTGTGAAGTGAACTCGATTTATTTTTCTTTTACAAAATTCCGAAAATAAATTTGACGTGCAGGATGAACAGTAACATGCCGCTGCCAAAATATGCTTGAGGAGCTCCAGAGTGATATTCCTACATCTTGAATCTTATTGTAATGTCTTACTACAAACATGTAATCTATGGGTTTATGATTAGTTGTTTTTTTTTTTTTTGTTGATCTAGTATTGTTGTAAAATGCATTAACGGAGGAATTCGGGGGAAACTGAGGAAAAGACTGTAAAATTTGACGAAATAAATAACCTGTTTTTATAACAACGTGCAATAATGCTACCTACATACTCATACATAGGTCATCAGTAAATTTAAACATCTTTAAAATTTCGAATAAAATAAAGAAAGGTACAAAAGGAACTTCCATGCTCCATTCGAAGTGAAATGCTGATTCTACATTTGGTATTTTTAATGTACTCGCAATTTATTTCCATGATCAGTCTTGTACATCAAGAAAAAAATTATAAGAAAAAGATAATAATCTCCTAATAAGAAGAACATAAGTGTGAAAAGCGCATAATTAAGTAATATCTTTGTTTGACGAAACACTGTGTCCAAGTTTTCAGTAGAAAAACTTTGGGACAGCGTCACTCCAAAATATCATCATTTGTGTTCCAGAAAAAAGATGAGAAAGGTGAAAATTCCGCTGGTGGAGTAATGGTTACCGTTGGGGTCTGGCACGGACCGCTTATATTAGGGGCCGAACTTCGTCGGGGATATTCAATGGACGCCTGATCCCTGTTGGGGGAATTAACAGGATGAGGAGGTGGCGAGGCCCCAACTCCCCACTTGGCATGGGAGTCCAAGGAGGGAGTAGTTTGTATTGGCTGCAGAGGCGGCCGGAGGTGATGGTGCTGAACGGGTTGCAGCTCGGCGTACGTGGGAGGTGTACTGCCAGCACCGCCGCTCTGGTCTGGGATGAGGTTCGGAAGGGACGTCGCGTTGGGAATGTTGTCGTAGTTGTGATACTCCAGCGCCCTGCACTCGTCCGGCTTTGGCCATGAAATGCCAGGGTATTCAGGTAAACTACTCATGCCGAGCGTTTGGCTTGCTTTGCCATCACCAGCTGCCTCTGGAACCGAACTACGAGCAGCTTTCGAATGCCCCGTCATTAAACGAAAGTCGTTATCTACCGAGAATTTGCGGTATGGGGATGAAACAGGTGAAGGAGTTTGAGGTGTTGGAGATGAGCCTAACGAATGAGATAGCGAGAATGAATGACCAGCTTGTGATGAATGTGAATGAGTATTGTCTGCAGCGCTAACATATGTCGATCGAAATTGGTCTTCAGCCTTTACCATTGAAGTTGACGGATGACCGCTTTCAGTCGTACAGTCTCTTGCGAATGATTCTATGAGCGAATCTTGAGAGCAAGACTGTTCGCGACCGATGGACGGCTCGTGAAGAGACAGGAACCCACTTCCCCCACAGTAGTGAGAACTCCTAGCCCCTATAGCCTCACTTTTATTGTGATCTGACAAAGCCAGCATGGAGGATGAATACTTAGGCATCAGATTCATACTTGTCTGGGATTTGTTTTGCTCTCTAAGCTCTACTAATCTTTCAAACTCTGTTCTGAAGAGGTTACTGTGCTGAGATTGGGAGTCCCAGCTTTGGCTTGGCAGAGCACTACCAGAACTTGCTCGGGCTCTTCCACGGCTGCACGACCCTCGGTCAGGTGCGAGAAAATTAGGTGCACACTCACCACATTTGTTGAATACGTCATCACTACTCGCGTGCTTCGAAGGGAACTCACTGAATCTCAGATCGAGCGGCTCAGTGTAGGATCCGTGACACATGCGTTTGGTGCGATCGCCGCCACCTTGAGGATAATCCTCGTCTTCATCAAGACGAGCTGACTCCATGAACGGACTTTGCCGCTTGCGGTCTGAAAAATGTAATTATTATATCAAAAGAAGTCTGGTTTTGTTTAGCACGTAGAATACTATTAATCTAACTTTAACGCTAAGTATTCAAAATTAAAAAATTTTGCATTGAAAGACAAGAAAACTTTTGAATAATGTCAAAATCTCGTATATAGTTACCAAAATAATTTTGCCAAAGTCGCTGGACTAATCTTCAAAAAATTCTAAAAGAGGAATATGAACTCACTGCTGGGATAGTAAGTGAAGTCTCTGGGCTCGCTGATGTCTCTGTCGTTGGGGCGCTCCAGCTGAATTTTCACGTGCGCTGGAGAGCGCAAGTTTGTGGAGTGGTACGGAGGTGTCCTGCAAGGCGGTGTTACACGATCAATGATTGAAATATTATTGCACGCTCGCTCATCCAATCACAATACGGCTGTTCTTTTCTTACAGTAAAGAGTATAAATAAACTTTAATTTACATAACTGATCGTTTCGTAAAATAGTAAGGGATATATATTTAAAATTATTCTGTCCTGAACTCGGGCCGCAATATCAATATGTTTTGAACATACTTACAAAATAACGACTGGATATTTTCATGAAAGTAAAATACGTGTTGGCCGTTAAAGCTTAGTGCAGGGAAGCCTCTCACCTGAAGATGATGGCGTACTGATGGTGCACGTCTGCCTCGCTGAACTCGCCGTACGCCGACCACACCTCATTGCCGTCCGCGTCACACTCGAAGAACCGGATCTTGATGTTCGCTGCACCACAAACGAATGTTTACTTTAGTCAAGCATTAAATGATAATCTCACATTATCAATGGTGAAATATTTTATTTACAATTATTCATCCCAATGACTTTGAGTAAACCAGTGACACTTGAAATTCAACGGAATTGATTAATTAGTTAGTGAAGAATTATTAAATTAATTCGATACTAACTTTTCTTGACTTTCTCCACGAGCATCCAGACTTCAGTGCCCCCAGTGCAGGGCGCCGAGCATTGAGATATGCGCACAATCTTCAGCTCGCCCGTAGAAGCGTTCTCTGGAACACCACAGACACGGTAACGTCAAAACCTGCAACACTTGTCAATAATATTATCTCAAAACTACGATGAAGTAACCCACCATCATTGACACAATAATTCAACTGTAAATAGGATAATCAGGAATGAATTGTTGAATTAAATCATTGCAATTGAAGGAAAAATTTTAAATAACCCAAGAAGAATAAAGTGATCACATAAATTAACCGTATAATTGAAATGAATATGCATGAGCAACTAGGAACTATTATAACTATTTATATAAAAATTTATTCAATTCAGGAATTGATTAAATGAAATGCTATGACCAAAACTCGTTGATGGACGACCATGACATCAGAGCAGCCATGTCTGCAGAACTCACTGAGGTTAACGACAAGTTCTGAGTCTACGGCGCGCGTGATGGGGCGGTAGCAGGCGTGCGTCGTGTCGTATTGGAACGCTTGGAAACGCAGCACCACTTTGTTCAGGTCCATCGCCTTGGCAATCTCTTCAGCTTCTTCGTCAAACTAATTAGGAAATGTTGAAGTTATAAGAATACGATGTGTCATCAAAGTTCCAAGAACGTGCGAGTTATATATGACGAAAGTTAATATCATTCGTAAGATCAATGCTTCGATTTGAATCATAAGCTTGCACGAAATTAAGAAATCAATCCCGTGATATTTGCTTTGAGAATTTGAGCTCTTCCAGATTTCCTCAACTACAAATATACAAACTGCAATCATGACGAGGATTCAATTCAAATTCTTCCCCAATTTAACATCATAAACCGATGTATATAGCAGCCTACCTTCTTGAGGTCCGTGGGTGTGATGCTCTGTCTGATCTCCTCCTGCGTACAGTGAGGCCTGCGTAGCCGCGCGTGCTCGATGAGCTCGGCTTTCTTGCGCTGACGAATGATGTCCTTGACGTCTCGCTTTGCGATGTGAATGATGCCCAAGTTTTGGAATCTAATCAAACCAAGCCAAGCATAAAGATTAATCATGGGTAGGCAATCGCATATTCGTTAGTATTAATTTACTAACACATGGAAAATGAGTATTTTATTCATAAAAAGATTTACATCATATGAATATTAGTAAATGATGAAAACTGATAAGGCATTCTCGATTTAATAATGCAGGCAGAGGGAACTACAGCACGATTTTCATATTAAAAATCATTGGCCAAGCTTATTACTTAATAAACTTTTATAAATTCCTCCATCAAATTCACAAGGCGCTATGAACAAACTTTATATGAACACTGTTTTAAGCCGATGACCCTCAACGTATATAAAAATAGACAAACTAATCTATGGGTGCAACTGACGTGGCAGTGTAATCAGTGGTACTTTTATATTAAAATGGACAAACTAATTCTATGAGCGCAACTGACGTGGCAGTGTAGTCAGTGGTGTGGTCGACGACCACCTCACACATGCCCGTGTCCTTGTCGCAGTTCTTGCCGCTGAGTTCGTGCACGTGACGGCGCCGCTGGTTGGGATTGTCCTCTCCCGTGTATAGAGCTAAGCGCACCACCGCTGGCCCGTCGCTCCACTTCGCGAGCTGTAACACGATCATAAAATTAAGATTATAATTCAAATTTAACATTAAAATTTATGAACATCAACATTAAAATTCATTAACATCAATATTAAAATTCAAATTATACATACATTCAACAACATTCCAATTATACATATAAAAAATCAACAGTGACTCGGTGCTCGAATACACGGTAAATAATCTGGAAAGAATATTTGTATGAATTTTGTAAAATCGCCCCATAAAGTCATGTCAAATGATCTGGTAAATGAGAAGAGAGAAATCTTACCTTGACGGTAGGAAAGATGGGTTTGTTCCTGTCAGCTCTTTCAGCTTTAAGCTGGCCGTGAGTGCCGACCATTTCGCTCTTGTAGCGGAAACGAAACTTGCTTTGCGGCTGTTCCGTTAAGATCAAGTGCGGACCGTCCGTGTTCACGCCTGCGTGGAAGAAGAATGTGTATTTACAAAAAGTTATAGAGCCTCATGAAACATATACGGAAAATTTCGATGCTAGAGATAAATAGTAGTTACTTATACGTCTCTTCTTTGAATTTTGCCTTTTCACATAAACGCGCTCACCTAAATCGGCTCATACGATATTAATCAGTTTTAAATGCACTCATTGTCTTCCAAAATGGCGGCTACTGTAGACTCAAATGAAAAAACCCAGTGGCTAACCTTCATTTATTCAATTACAATGACCAAATCAAGGAACGTCTTGAAGTTACTCACAGTCATAAGGACGGTTGTAGTCCGACACGACAGTGGGGGGCGAGGGCAGTCCCACCGAGACGTCAGAGTAAGGCGACGCCATGCCACCGCTGTAGGGGGAGCCCAGTGGCCGCTCACCGCCGCTGTAAACAATAAGCTCATTAATAAATGTAAATAAATATGAGTTCTGTATTGCATTCTCCAACAACAATACTTGAAATAATATTAATACATCGTAAGTACACATCGCTTAAAGTTCTGCATTTCTTCCTTCGGCAATTACAGAGGGAAAAAATAAATTGACATTGGCGAGAATAATATAATGAAGTGTATAAGTTTCGTATGTCGATCGTTCATACCAAATCCATCAAGTTAATCAAATTAAGATGATTTCAAGTGAAAACATGCAGTGTAGCTCTACTACATTGTTCTCGCTAGGAAGCAATAGTTTCAGTGTGAAAAGAAAACAAAAAAAAAATAATTAGACTGTTTTACATAGTTATCAGGTAGCCTGGTAGGAACTCTACTTGTATTAAGCTCCTGGTACGTAACCATGTGTTCTCTAGTATACAATGAAAAAGTATAATTTGGAATAACTTTACGTCGTAGATTGAACCATCTGGTACTTTAAGCCTGAAAAGCAGTCATTTTATTGCGTGTAATTTCATCAGAAGGGAAAGCGTAACAATATAAATAGCATACTATTGCTATAAATCATAAATGTGTTCAAGACTCGCAGGTTCTATACCTAGTTGAAGCTGTGCAAATAATTTCATTTTCGGTTTAGCCACTTTGTCCGCCGGGAAAACGTTCCTTGATCGTTAAAAACTTGTATATGAAGTACTTTTGAGCTTCTTGTTGGCGATTAATTAATGTGATGAGTGCGATTAAGCTTATGTATCGACAAACATATTTCAAACTTTTATACCTACGCATAATGCAGATCGTTGGTGGCTGGTTAGTACATTAGAAGTATTGAATTTCTTTCATGACAATAATGAACATTCGATGCGAATATACGCGCTTTTGTTTTATTTGTAGTTTTGACGAGTTTCGCTACCTGTGTATTGGCAATTCATCTACGCTTAGCTTGCAATAAATGCTAGAAACTTCAACGCTGCTCTGGTACCGACCTTTCTGCTTCAATAGTTTTTAGTAAGGATTGAATAATAACGCATGTACAAAAATTACCTCAGCGATCCGGATACTCTTTGATGAAAAATGTGTTGAATTTAAGACACGACTTGATGCCAACACAGCTTAAATAAAATTAAACTTGCCACCTGAGTTTTGCTGCCGATTGTGAAAACTCGCGCGACGATCAAGGGCACTGAAGTGACAAAATCAGTTACACACTTCACAAAATGAAGGAAATGACCAGCTACAAATATCCTTTTAATAAGTAGAATAAAATTAACCTATCGCAGTTCAGATAAGATAAAGAATCGTGCAGTGCGGTAAGTGAATGCGGCACTCCTACACGTTAAAGACAACACACTGGCTGAGGTGCTCATGTCGGGCCGTTCCCTGTAGTTCTGGTGCAACGATTCCTACATGGAGGTGGGTGTGGGTGATGCAAGTGATGGTGCTGAACACGGCACTCGTGGAGCATTTAGTTTGGCAATGAAACAATCCTATGGAAGCTTGAATTTGATCTTGGTTGCAGTTAAAATTTAGCTTGTATTTCTATTTGCATTTATAGGAAAAAATGGATCGATGAATGATATGAGAAAATTCTTAGCGGCATTGTCATGGCAGGAGTTGCAATGAGTCATCGGGATACTGGCCTTGAAGGCTGATTATTGCGCTGATATGCAAGTTCGGAGCACTTCACTTCAAATTATTAAACCATGAATCAAATATTTAAGTACTTTTCTTTAAATATTAATCCTCTAAAAACCAGTAGCGCAATTAATTATAAGAAAATGAATTAAATTCGCTCTGAGGATTGAAGATTGGCAGAGATGCATTGGAATTTATCTTGAATGTGTGAGGAGGTAAACGACGCAGCAGCTACCAGTTCGAGACCACAGCATCTGCATGCGCGAGACAGAGAAGTGCAAAGCGTAAATGCAATGCGCCCAATTAAAAAGTTAAACTCATGTCTCCACTTGTGAACTTTCGAAATAAAAATAAAATATAGTGTGTGTGAATACTACTATAAAGTAAACATGAAATAAATGAACGTACGCCTGCAGAAATTCTATCTCCTTTTGAAAAAATGTCATCGATTAATTTCACATGAGAAAAATCATAGAGTCAATTTATAATAATTAAGTTATGAGCACTCACTCACTCAAAGTTATAGCCGGTGAGTGTCATCACAATAAATGCACTCAGTAGTTTTCTCGACGTCGATCAATGAAGCGTGTCACCTGATGATCCAACTCAGTGGACAACGGGCAATATTTCAGTCAGAGCACCGACACAGCAAGTGAAATCATTTCTCGAATCTTAATTCAATTAAATAAGAGTAATCAATTATCTAATGAAAGTAATATTTTCCCATGGAAGAAAAACCTTGTTGGTTCCTAAATTGTTTCTTAATAGTTATTTAACTAAGTCACTTTCGATGGAGCAAACGTCCCGTGAATCTAGTATTTTGGCTGTTTATATAGTAGTGAGGCTGAGAATAGATCTGATGTTGACAGTTCAGGAACTGAATGCTGACTAACTTAGCAACGCCCGCGATGATGTGTTTATACTGGCACGGCATATCCGGTGCAGAGCACTCAGCCGTGGGGTCACATCAGGTAATTTTCCCTCGTAGTTCCGTCAGCAGTTCCCCATGCGCGCGTTGGCTGGCCTAACCAGGCCCAGTGACGTAGGTAGAGGAGGACGATCGACACAGCAGCATCAAAAAACCCAAAAGCCATCATGGTTGGTGCCGCCGCGACGCGTTCACGGACCGAAGATTAACTTCTTATGCAAGCGACGGTGAGAAAACGACGTCCAAAAGTTCAGGGATTTTTCCTGCACTCAGAGAGTGCGGATCAAAGGAAGGTGAGAACGTTTTGAAAAAATACATAGCAGGTGGAGGTCGCGTTGCGTGCATTACAATAATTTTATGTAATTGGTTTCTCTTCTTCATGAGACAGCAGTCTTGCGTGTACATCGTGATAGCAGATGTTATTTTGATAGATTTCCAACCTTGGATTGAGGCGGTTTACGGATAATTATAAATGCAAGGAGATGTAACATTATTTAAACCTTCCCTAACAATTAGATATAGTATAATAGTGGCAAGCTAAGATATTTTTTATAGGTCTAATCATACATAACAAGTTTGCTAGATAGGCTATAAGGAATAAGCGCTTTAAAATAGTAGAAATTTTTTATCAAGCGGACAATTGAACCTACTTTGCAGTAGAAAAAACTTGTAAAAACTGGAACAGTGATCACTAAAATGCAAAAAAAAAAATCTATGGAAAAACTTTAATTGCAAAATATCATCCAACAAGTAATAGTTAAAACCACAGATTGATTAATTTAAGTAAAGTGGGAAACATCAACGACGACATCGCGGCAGATCATGGGGTAAGCGAAATTTTTTTTTTAATTTGCAGCAAAATAACGACTTTGAGACGTTATTTCCCTGTAATTGTAATGTGTCTCACAGCGAAGCGTGGCGGTAACACATCCACATAGTCATCCGAGTACAATTAAAACGGTTCAAGATCTCCTTACCACGGACCGTAAATAGCTGTTGATTCTATAAATAGCTTTGTGCGTCATTGAAGTGTGGGTAGAGTCCAGATATATGTGATGAATCTCTTCTCAATTCCTCCATTGAGAAATTCTTCTCTCCAGATTTAAGCATGTGCATTCATATTAGTAATAGCTTGCAGAGATTGATTTTCTATGCACGTTCGCATAGTGATCAGCGAATGCATTAGGTTAAAAATTTCAACGAGTTGAGCCATTTTTCGGAGACGTTGGTAGATCAAAAAGTAAATTTCAAAAAGTAATTTCAAGTATAATAAAGTAATATTAAGGACGTTTCGAATGCAAAATGTTTGCATTCGAACGAAGTTTCGGATGCGAAACTTTCCGACGTCATTGAGTTTTGAACTCTCTTCTACTGTTTTTTTTATCGACTGCGGGTAACTGGTTCTCTTCAACGATTTTTAGTTAGTTGAAAACCATCATAATTGTAAAATATTTTTCATATTTATGTGTTAATATCATCAAATAAAACTATTTAGGTCGGCTGAAATGTTCTTTGGGCTTTTTTATCCCTAATAATTGTTTTTAATGCAAGGCAAGATCTGTATTCCATTCGTAAGTGCCCGTAAAAACGATTTAAATTTATTTTTCATACTATAAGCTTGGGAGTCCTTCTTTATTTAATTGAAAATTTTCATGTCTGTGAAAACTATTTCGAAATTATAAACGATCATCCGCAACCAAGTCGAGTTTATGCTTCATATATGCTCACAAGACAAATGTTTATTGTGCACTGAAGACGTCAGAGGAGAGGCAGCATGCAAGGCTTTGATAGTGAAGTGGAATGCATCGATAGATTATAAAGTGCTTCTCCTAGCTCGAGTAATGAACAGCAAGCTTGCTTTGTGAAATTAATTAATCAGATAGTAGACAGATAGATACGAGGACTGACAACACCACAACAATTCCGATGTTCTTACATGCAGGTGCCTATAGATGCTGTATTCATGAAGCTATTTTTGTCGCACTAGTGCGCCCGCACCTTCAGTTTGATTCATGAATATATTTCTCATGTGCTGTACCGTGGCCGCTGGGGACTTGAAGATACAAGGAAGGAAGGCTGGGGACATTCCCATCGACTTGGTGCTGGGGACTTGAAGGTAAACATTAAATAACTGATATTTTGAATAAAAATTTCAAACAAGGTTAGTCCCTTAACAGGAGCGTTAAGGAAAGTAATGGACAGCAGCAGTGATAGAGAACGGCATTGTGTGTCCAATTAAAATAGATTGCGTACAAATCAAGTCTTGCTTCATTAAATCAATTAAATTTATTTACTATTTGCACTAATTAGATTATGATCGTTATAAAGCGGTATCTTATTTATAAACTAGTATGAGTAAAATTCTAACAAAATTATTAGAATTTAATGTAGGTTAAGAGCATCAGTGAGCAAAAAGTTCGTGAGCAACCACTCTGTAAAACACTTCTTACTGCACTCAGTGTAAAAATATTTTGAAGCAATAAAGCCTCAATACGATCAATTTCCGTTATTTACAATTTGCAATAACCCGACATGGCAGGACGTTGTAATGCTTGTCCGTGATCGAGCTTCTCAAGGTTACCTATCGTCATTCGGGTGCGAAAAGAGTGGACTGTAAGAAAAAGACAACAAATTCCGATGTTAAGACAACCGAGTGATCCTTTATAAAGCCTTGCATATTTTAATAAATTTAATATGTCCAATGCTAATTTTTGCTTTTTAAATTTATGCGTCCTGGAAGACTGGACACAGTGGCACTAGACATTATACAAGATCAATAATAAAATGTAAAAGTGTTGCAAGCGTTGTATGTTGAGGCATCAAATGGGAGAACATAAATATTCACGGTTCTAATCATTCATGTTCCACAGGAATCTAAGATCCGCGTCGAACAGGCGGCATGCGCTTCATCATACTGAAGGTTTGACTAGCTTACGTATTCTCGAGATGAATCAATCATACGCGCTATAGTAAATATTTGTAGCAACTATAATTTGTATTCAAAATTCGAAGATCATAGCAAGGAAGTTAATTAAGCTAAAATAAAATTCCACTATGCTATATCACAATAGCCAAGCGTGATCACAAGATCCTGGATGCAGCGAACTGTCAGTGCAAGACACCACGTAACTTTTCCTTGGAAGTCAGGGTCGTAATATTCTCACCGGATTTTCCCGATTCTCTAGGCTATAGAATATTACCTAGAAGGATAAGGGTTCTGTACCGCTGCAAGTTTTATCAGGGCGAGTAGAATCGCCGCGTCAATCGTCGCGCGCTCGTGAACGCGAACCAAGTTCTGGGTACGAGTTTAGCAGTCCCAGTTTTTGTTGTGGGACTGGAACGACAGCGGCTCCCATGCAAGCTATACGCCCATCTTGAAATAGAGCAAGTAGAACTCATTGTTGTGAATTTCGACCTTGTACAATACAGAATTAAACGCACGGCATTTCACGACCGAATTATGCTTCATGAATGCTGTAATCTAAATTAATTTATTATATTCTAAATATAAATTTAACTTACAATTGAACTAAATAATAATATTTAGATACGGTTTTAAACGATTTTAGATAAATTCCACCCAACTCCCGTGCAAAAATATAGCAAATGTCAGGACTGCAAACTACATCACCACGGTTTGCACGTATACGCGCATGAACTGCATCTCCATGTAAAGAAGCTCTGAACTCGTTGGCTACGCTCACATTTTAATGACAACAGCCAGAATTGTCTTTGAATAAATAAAATCGAGGCAGTTATTTTGGGTATTCCATTAATAACAATAGCACATGACGCCGTTAGCACG